GTGGCAAGGCTTTTGGAGTACCTCCAGGAGAGCTTCATGGAGATGTCCCTGGAGGATTTCCGCTCCATCCCCAGACACGTTAACAGACTTTTCCAGTAGCTGTACTGGACGCGAATGCATCCCAAGTCCTCAGGGCAAAGTAATCATTAAAAAACGCTTGCTTTTAAAACAAGTTTTATATTTTAAAAGGTAAACTCATCTGAGGTCCCTTCCATGGGGTCATGGTCTTAGATACTGGCTTGGGAGGGTAGGGAGGGTACTTCAGTCAGGCTGAGAAAAAGATCCTGGCTGTTGGGGATAACGGAGTGCTGTGTGCTCTCCGCAAGCTCCTCCTCCTCGTCCTCCTCTTCCCCATCTGCAGAATCCTCAGGTGTAGCTGATGAGATTACCCCCGCCTCGGAATCCACGGTCAGAGATGGGGTAGTGGTGATGGCCCCCCCTAGAACTGCATGCAGCTCGGCGTAGAAGCGGCATGTCCGCTGCTCTGACCCGGAGCGACCGTTTGCCTCCTTTGTTTTTTGATAGGCTTGTCTGAGCTCCTTGACTTTCACGCGGCACTGATCTGAGTCCCTATTGTGGCCTCTCTCAGTCATGCCCTTGGAGATTTTTTCAAAAGTTTTGGCATTTCGTCTTTTTGAACGAAGTTCTGCTAGCACTGAATCCTCTCCCCATATAGCGATCAGATCCAGTACCTCCCGTACGGTCCATGCTGATGCTTTTTTTCTATTATCGGCCTGCATGGTTACCTGTGCTGATGAGCTATCTGTGGTCACCTGTGCTCTCCACGCTGGGCAAACAGGAAATAAAATACAAATGTTCGCGGGGCTTTTCCTGTCTACCTGGCCAGTGCATCCGAGTTCAGATTGCTGTCCAGAGCAGTCACAATGGTGCACTGTAGGATAGCTCCCGGAGGCCAATACCATTGAATTGCAGCCACACTAACCCTAATTCGAAATGACAATATCGATTTTGGCGCTACGCCCTCGTCGGGGTGGAGTACAGTAATCGATTTTAAGAGCCCTTTATTTCGAAATAAATGGCTTCCTTGTGTGGACGGGTGCAGGGTTAATTAGATTTAACGCTGCTAAATCCAAATTAAAGTCATAGTGTAGACCAGGCCCTAGAAGTCTAAATACTATAATGAGTGAACTTGAGTGCCTGGTATTAAATGGGGATATTGATATCATATGCATCACAGAAAGTTGGTGGGATAATGACAATCAATGAGACACTGCAATATCAGATACAAAATACATAGGAATGACAGAATAGGTCATACTGGTGAGGGAGTGGCACTATGTGTGAAAGAAACCATAGAGTCAAATATAGTAAAAATCTTAAATGAATCAAACTGTACCATAGAATCTCTTTGGATAGAAATTCCGTGTTTGAATAATAAGAGTATAGCAGTAGGAATGTACTACTGACAACTTCACCAGGATGGTAATTGTAAAATGCTCAGGGAGATTAGAGAGGCTATCAAAGTACAAAACTCAATAATAATGGGGGATTTCAACTATCCCCATATGGACTGGGTTCATGTCACCCCAGAAGGGATTCAGAAATAAAGCTTCTAGACACCATTAATGACTGCTTCTTGGAGCAGCTAGTCCTGGCATCCACAAGGGGAGAGGTCATTATAGATTTAGTCCTAAGGGGAACACAGGATCTGGTCCAAGAGGTGAATATAGCTGACTAGACCATTATCTAATTACATTTAACATCGTTATAGGAGGGGAAATATCAAAGAAGCCCACTGCAGTAGCATTTAACTTCAGAAAGGGGAACTACTCAAAAATGAGGAAGCTAGTTAAACAGAAGTTAAAAGGAACAGTCACAAGAGTGAGATGCCTACAAGCTGCATGGAAACTTTTTTAAAAAACACCACAATAGAGGCTCAAACTAAATGTATACCTCAAATTCAAAATAATAGTAAGCAGTCCCAAAATGCCACAATGGCTAAATAGAGTAAATGAAGCAGTTAGAGGCAAAATGATACCCTTTCAAAACTGGAAGTCAAATCCTATTGAGGAAAATAGAAAGGATCATAAACTCTGGTAAGTCAAGTGTAAAAGTGTAATTAGGCAGACCTAAAAAGAATTTGAAGAGCAACTAGCAAAAGACACAAAAGCTAACAGCAAAAAATGTGTTAAGTACATCAGAAGCAGGAACACTGCCAAAAAATCACTGGGGCTACTGGACGAGCCACAGGCTAACGGAGCACTTAAGGAAGACAAGACCATTGGGCCATACCCGAGCCATTCTTTGTAGGTTGAAGGAGAGTCCCATACCCAAGCCATTCTTTGTAGGTTGAGTTTTCCCCAAACTATCTCACCAACATGGGAAACATAAAGAAAAGGAGGAAACCGGGATCTGGGCCTGAGGACTTGTCTGTTCTGGAAGACCACTGAAGATATTGTACATAATAATACTTTGTTATATAACTCCTTTTGAGAGTCTGAAAGGCTTAATATACATAATTAATTCAAGCCTCACCCTTCTCCTCTTCTCCCCATGAAGAAAGTCCGAATCATTTGTTTCACAGATGGGGAATTTTAGGTGTAGAGAAGTGAAATTATTTGCCCAAGGTGACACAGTGAACAATGGTAGAGTTGGTATTAGAATTCAGAGGTTGTAACTCTCAGCCTTCTGTTCTAACCATGAAACTCTCCCTGTAAGCCGGATCTGGCACACCCTTATGTATGTGCTTAATTGAAATTCTATGAGAAATCAATCCTATTTACTAATCCCCAATTAATTCGGCTTTTCACCATATTTGAAGCTGAGCATATACATACTTGTACATTCAGTGCCTGTATCTCCTTTTTTAAGAACAGGGGTTTGCCATTTTCCAGAATTTCCCCTCCCCTTGTACTTGCATGTTAGATCAATGACACCCAGCACAGACGTGGTTGCACTTCAGTGGCGCTGTCTTTATATTGGTCCTGTTTATCTATGCTCAGGTATCTTCTGAAGGCACTTACAGCTGATTGGTTGTAAAATGCCTCCCAATCACAATTCTCCACTTCTCCACTCACATCGCAATAGCATTTCACATCCACAGTAAATTACTATACAAAATGCAAGGCTTAGGAGAATCAGACTCTAAAGAACTGTTGTATAGAAGCCATTATATAAATATAAAATCTTATTTCTCTCACTACCACAGTACTACTACCTGTATGAATTTGAGCAGTTCCCCATCTCTGCACTTCAGTTTCACCACTTGTATAACACAGAGATAATCAAGTATGACTACCAGCAATCCAACATGCCAATATCTGAAGCTCCCAGAGAGACGGGACCGACTCCTTGCCTATCTGCTCCCACTTTTACCAACCCCTGATTATTCGAACACATCAGTTGAGACTGTAACACCCATCCGCCCTTCTCTGCCTCTCTTGTGCTGGAGGGGCTGCAAGATCCTGTCAGGGACGAGGCTTCTTTCTCATTTGGCCTCAGGTGAATGAGTGGCTGGGTTTGCAGTTTTGCAACAACAAAAACAAACCCTGCCGCGGGGGCGGCAGGCACCTGCTGGTATTGCGGCAGCAGAGAGGCCGGGATCCGTGCTCTCCGTGGCTTGCGGCGCTGTGGGGTCATTGAGCGAGCGCAGAGCGAAGGCATCCTCATTTCCTCTAGAGGAGGCGGAGCAGCGCCTTGAAGGAGCCAGCCCCGCAGGAGGCGGGGCGCCCCAGTTCCCTTGTCAGGATTAGCTCTGCGCACGCAGCCCCGGTTGGTTTTTCCCCGGCACAAGCTCGGTTCCGCCTAGGTCGGAGAAGCAGCCCCGGGGAGAGTGCAGATCCGGGGAGCCTATGGAGCCGCGCAACATCGGCTCGGCCAGCGTGGAACGCGGAACAGATACAATGTAGCGAGTGGAGGAGCTGGGGAGAGACCGGGAGCCACAACCCCCCGTAGCACAAGGGAGACCGGGAGCGTCCTTCCTTCCGCCCTTTTCCCGGGAAATCAGTGTTTATCCCTGGAGTAGCGACTGAGATTTGGGCAGGCCCCGGCCTTTAAGATGCTCCCGTACAACTGCCGGAGCTCGGGGTGAGGCCCTGGGCGGCTCCCCTCCCCCAATCATGCCTCCCGGACCCCCGTGAAACCCTTACTGGCCTCCCCGAAGTAGCTAAGCAGAGAGCACCATGGAGCTGGAGCTGGGCTGGGCGGCACTGGTGCTGCTCTTCGCCGCCTCCCTGCTCACCGTCTCGGCCTGGCTGTTGCAGTATTCCCGGGGCGTGTGGAGCGGCCGGGGAAAGCCGGAGACCTCGGGAGGAGCTCTAAGGGAAGCCGGCATCTGGAAGTCCTTACTGAGGCTGCGGGTGGCCCGGGACGGAGCTCCTGAGGAGGCGGTAGCGGGGGCCAGAGGGCTCCTTGCTTCGCTCTTTGCCTTCAGATCCTTCCGGGAGAACTGGCAGCGAGCTTGGGTGCGAGCTCTCAACGAGCAGGCCCGCAGGCACGGGGTAAGAGGGTGGGGGTGCCGGTCCGGAACCGGTCATGGGGCAGTAACTCCAACTGAATTATGGGGTCAGCGTTTAGGGGGTCGGGTGTTTGGGCACCTCACAGAAATGCCACTTGAATAGCTGCTAATAGTTAACCCCATTCTCTTCCTCCTCCAGCCTTTGTGAAATTGGCCCGCAAAGAACAAAATCGGGGTTGCCTATACAGTGGCAAGTGGAATGAAGGGGGCGGGGGGCTTTCACCCCTCCTCAGATTAACCTTAAAGTGCTCCGGAGAACAGAAATTGCTGTGGATTTCCCTGACTCCTGCCCAAATAATCTTTGAATGGACAAAGGGGGTTGACCCTTCTGTAGCCCGAGTAAACTGGGACATTGGGAGCTGGGGTCTTGGCTTGTCCTTAGTCATGCAATGTTAATAATGAGAATTTAAATGCACTGAAACCAGAAATGGAAAGTAAAGTTCTCACAATTACTGTAATGGAAGTTAGATATGGAAAAGACGTTTCAGCTCATCCACACATTGTGCCAGGTCTCTTCCTTGCGGGACACCTGACCACTTGTGTATGTGAATTTTTTTGTACTATCATATATAATCTGTTAAATGTAGTGGGATATGTCAGAATAAAATAATCTACAATAGTCACTTTCCTACAAATGCCCATAATTACTAAAATTGAGCATACTTTAAAAATGAGAATTTTTACCCTTAACGTTTCTGTTTTTACGTTCCACCTTTTGCTCATCTGGAACAATGATAATAGACTGGATAATTTCATTTTCTGGCTTTCATGCACTAGCCTAATACTACAATGCTACGGTTGTAAGCACTGCAAGCATTTAAGAATACTTAAATATAAACTATTTTTGTTCTAAACAATACCAAGATTTCTATTTAACAGTAAGTTTTGTAAAACTATTTTTCTAGTCCCCAACTCTAGGTAATGTAAAATTATCTGACATTGCCACTAGAAGGCTTCCACGGGAATCTTAACTTCTGAATTTCCTAGCCAGTGTTCACTTTAATCTTTAAGCCTTAATGTTGCATAATACTAAAACCTATGATAAAATGTCCTAAAAAGAATATTCCTAACTGATTTCTCATGGAAACAAATGTAGCATCCCACAGTACCTGCAAGGTGATGACTTCCATCCTGCACCCAAAGAGAGTACAGGTATAGTGGGTCCAGTATTTGAGGTTGCCTCCTGTGGTGGAAAGGTTCATGGACTTCCTGGCCTTTCTAGAGTGTTAAGAGGTTGCTATAGGCTTCTAAAAGGCTGAGACAAAATTCCCCGAAGGCTAGTTTGAAGTCATGTTCACACCAAAAAAGGAGATTTACAAGTTTATTATCTTTGTCACATCCAGGACTTTGCTGCCTCAATAAGAGGAGAAGATGAATATAAAATTTGTGTATATTTTTGGGGAGGGAGGGAATGTTTTACACAAGGGGAAAGCCCCATGTTGTTGCTGATTGCATTTGAAATGATAATGCATAACTATGCTGTGTGGAAGTGTAGCCTGATCAGTGGAGGTTTGAGGCCTAAACTCTCATGTTTCCATAATTATCTTCCATAGCATAAAACAAGTAACTTTCCCCTGTAATTCTGTTATTAATTCACTTGCTTCAATGTAGATCTCAGGTGATTAACCTGCTGACATACACAAAACAGACTGGAGGGAAGGCAAGTTAGTCAGTAACATTGAATGTAGCAAATCCTGCACAGCACAGGAAGAAACACTTGTCTTGTAATCTCTCATTTACATATAAAATTACAGTAATATACCACTGACTTTTCAAATACAAAGTGAAACACAGAAATTGTGTTCAGAAAGACAATCTCCTGATAGGATAATGAGGCTGACTGTAGACTTTGTATATGTTTTAGCTTATTATTTATGTATACAGTATATTAGGGCTACACAAATGTGGCATATTTGTTCATGGAAGAAATGTTACAGGAAGTGATTAAAATGACTTTGTTGTCTAGACAGTAACGGTTAGCTGAATAGAGCTACCAAACTCAGTACTGACTGCCTTTCACAGTTTATGTAGCTGAAGTAGGGTTTAACCTGGCCAAGAAGCAGAATGGAATAAATAAGAAAGCAATGTTATGAAATAAGGAATATGATGAAAGTTCAGACCACATAAGTCTCTCTCAGCCTAACCACAAAAGATGATGTCAAAGTTGCTATCCAAATTCAGGGTTTGTGAAGTCCAACTTTCACAAATGCTAAGTTGAATAGAAACACTCCATTGAAAGTGTGTTGAGTAAATATTTCCTGATGTTTTTTCAATCTAAACATTGCACTTTTTAGTGCAGTGATGCACAACCACTGGCAAGGAAATTCACTAGCAACTACTACTCTTGCTTGCCTTGTCCAAGCTGAAAGAAACACAGAACCTAAACAAGCAGCATGACTTAAAAATTCTTTCTTTTAATAATCTCAAGTGTTACTAGGTAAGGAATGTTTAAAATAATATATTTAACCCAGCAGTGCCCTAGCAAGAGATGGTAAAAAGCATTTTATAAAGGTTAACAGCCTTAAAGCAGTATGTTCCTGCCCATTAACTGCCCTGCTGGGCATTTGGACTCTGCATCACAGAGGATGCAAGTACCTGGTGTGGATACCCATTCTATTGCTGTGTTGTGGGTTCCTGATGTGGTTGCACAGCCTGTCATACGATGCTATATCCAAAGGGTGAGAGAGAAGATATTATCTGTCGGGGGAACTGTATGTTTCGATGTCTTCAGCACTGGTTTTAATCTTGTAAGATATCTGTGGAAATGTAACTAAAAGTGCCTGGCTTCCTCCCTTTAGGTTTGGGGGTCTTCCCAGCTCTTCCTTTTGGGCTGTGGATTGTCTGTCAAGCAGCTCCCTCCTTGGTGCAGAGGCCCAGGGCTCCTCTTGTGGCTTTCAACCAGCTTCTCCTCCAGCAGGCCTGCTTCTCCAATTAGTCCCCAGGCTCTGAGGGGTCAGCAGGGAGGCAGCCTTCTCTTGATAATGTGTGTGTCTGCTTTGAGGGAAGAGGCAGACTATATACAGCTCTCTTTCCCAGACTAATTCTACAAGACTCCTGCTTGTGGGCCCTTAGAAGAATAGCAGCACAAGTTTTTCCCAAACACAGACTGTTTCTCAGGACCACTTCCTCTCTCCCCATATCTACCTTTGTGACTTTCCTAGATCCTTGGGTACCTCACCTTAAAGGGGCCACACCATGGAACAGGAGTGGGATGCCTCTAGACCCTACTACCTTTAAAGGGATGGACTACCCCTGTCAAAGAGGTGTTTTGATGGGAGGGGGGATTAGCTAAACAGAGACAAAGGATGGAAAAGGGACACCAAAAGGCCTCCATGGTGCAAAAGGGTTAAAGCACCAGCTTTTCACCTCAGGACACTTTGGTTCAAAATTAGGTCTCAAGTGAAAATTACTTTTTCACTTCTTGTCTTAAACACTTGTTCATGTTTCAGATTGGCCATTTGCATCACAGCTATGGCTCTTGGTTGGATGAACTCAGAGCTGGAATTGCAGGGCAGCTCCAGGTTAGGACAGAGATGTGTCAGCAGACTAGTGTGTCGGGAGCCCATGACTGAAAGAGCAGGGGGACTCTGGGTTAGGATGGAGGAACATTGGCAGAATTTTGCCTCAGATCGCAGGACTGTTATAGCAGATGGTCTGCAGATTGGAACTCGGGGAGCATTTGGCTCATGCTCAGGTACCTTTATAATTGGTGAGATTCTGCTGAGTGTGAAAGTTGCATCATGATTAGGTAGCTGCAGCTGGAATAATTTTTTTTTCTGAAGCTGCAGGAAAAGCTGCAGTTTGGCTCTTGTACTCCCTCCAGTTTTTCATTCCCCTTATAGTGGGGACATGTCCAGCCTCATGCTGACCTCTGATAAGGAGCAGCATCTGAACCTGCCTCCCAGCAGGTGAGCTCCCATGTCACTGTAATGCCCAGTGTTTTATCTGCTGTGCTGTGAAATAGAAGCACAGGTCTAGGCATCGTGCTTTCTGTCTGTCCTCTCCTCAACCCTAGTCATCGCTGCAGGCACAGAGGGGGATCACTCCAAAAGCACAGAGCAGCTCACCTCTCTCATCCCCAGATAGGCTGTGGATGGAAATCAAAGTGAGGCATCTTTCTGAGTGGCAAAAAATAATGCAAGGACAGGGATGCTCAGGTTTCTCCTGAGAAGACAGAAATTAAGGTCCGGAGTCCCCTCTTCTGCAGCAAGCTGGGGGTGCCATAGCTTGAGGTACTAAAATAGTGGGATGTTGATTCTCTGGGGAGAGGGGAAGCAAAACTTGAAGGTGGTGGCTGCCATATTTACTCAATGCGGTGAGATGTCAGACATCCTGAGGGTATACTGCAAAATGCAGATACAGGTCTAGCAGCTGTACTTGTGTGACAGCATGCTTCCCAGAAGCAGGTTGCAGCTGTGGAGCGGGAGGTACTTGCCTAATGCCACCTGGAGGCAAAAGCTCTGGGAGTGGTGCCCATTTTGTTATCTCAGTACTGGACCCCACCATCACTTGTCTACTCCATATTTTGCAGAGTTCTCCCTTGTGGTTGGAGTATCGTCTACATTAAATGATCTGGGTTCATGAACTTAAAGCTTTTTCAGAGTCCCTTTTTTTTTTTTTTTTTTTTCACTTTTCCAAATCTGGAGACAGGCAACTAAACTAGAATTGATGCGGGGGGCGGGTAGAATCAAACCCAGCTTGAAATAATTTGGCCCCAAAACCAAATTGTTAAAGCAGATTGGTATCAGCCTACACCCCCCCACACACACACACACACACACACATGATCTGACACTGCCATCTCTGTCATTGCAGTCCCTCTGTCTTTGACACAGGTTTCTTTCATGTGATTTGTGTATTTAGGGGGCTCATTTCTCTCTGCGTTCTGCCACTTGGAACCTGTCTGTCTTAGTTCTTTGCCCGAAACCCTCCTAGTGTGAATGCAGCTCCTATCTGTTTCTTGTTTCCCTAAAAAATCTTTGCTGCTGCCCTTAGTGAGTTCATGGGGTAACAAGCAAAGAACTGAGCAGATGTTCTTGTTGATGCTATTTCTTGAAAGCCACTTTGCCATGTGAGATGTTTTGGGATTCTGAAGTGTCTCTGGCCCCAAGGAGAACTATGTGGGGTAACTTTGTAGCTGAGACTGGGTTGCCAGACTCTATTCTGAAATATTGGTTTTGGGGATGCAGCAGCCATGGATGCTTGGGTTCAGATATCATGGGTTGCTATAATTTCCATCCCTGCTGAGATCTGAGTTTAATGGATACCTCCTGAGTGATACCTTTATGGTCCTTTTATAACATCCTAGGGCTGACTGCATAAGGAGCTGTTCATAAACAAAGCCTTTGTACCCTCTCCAGAGGGAATTCCTCTCCCTATTCTGTGTGCGCAGCAGGGTAGTGATTCCTATCTGAGCCTCCAATGGCGAACTTATACCCTTCAGCATGACGCTGGCATAGCTACAGATATTATTTGTCATGGAATCCTCCAGCCCTTGTTTAAATCTACCAGGGCCCCCTCAGGCTTGGAATTTCACAAGCCAACTCCATGCCATGCAAGGAAGGCTTTCCTCTTACTCATTCTGAATGTGCCTCCTCTCACTGTCACCCACTTGTCTTCTTGTATGGCTGCCGCTCTGCGCTCACTGTTCTCACGTGACTGCCATGTAACACTTCTGGAGGCCTCTTGTTGGAATTGCTAACATTCCTTGAAATGGCTTTGAGATCAATTGACCTTGTTTGGGGACTAACTAGATTCTCTTACCCCAGAGTTCAGTCCAGATCACGTTTGAAGAGAGTCCTCAGCTACCACCAGCGGTGAATATAAGTCACGTGACCTGCACAGACCAGGCAGACCACAGTATGGTAAGGCACTGCCATTCTGCATTTTGCTGTGCTCTGTATCTTTTCACTGAGTGCTAGTGTATATTCTACAAGGATTATCTTGGCCTTTAAGACTTGGATAATGGAGGGGGAGTGGGGCTGCAGGCCAGGGTTGAGATGTCAGAGCTATGAGGAGAGGGCCACTCAATACTGGAATAGCTGTAGGGGCAAGCTCCAGTCTGGGATAGTAGTGGGGGTGCAAGTCAGGAGTTGACAGAGCTGACTGGGGAAATTGACACAGTGCTTGCATCTTGCACTATTCTTGGCTCTTATCAGTGCTGTTGGACTCTCAACATCATGGCCTTACAATTCAAAACAGAGGGGACCTTGTAAAACTGAGGAGATTCAGTAATAGTACATCAAAGACTTAAGCAGCAAATTATTGAGGTAACTATGGTCACACCATGAGGACCCCTTGACACTCCTCTCCAGTTATGAGTATTTGCATTCCCCTGACTTCTCTGTTTCCCGTTCAACCCAATTCTCTCAGGGAAGCTGCTGCAGACTGTCTCTTCTCTCTTCTGTCTAGGTGTTGCACTGCCATCTGGCAGCTGATGCTGTGAAGTTCCCAGTCTCTGTCACTCAGCAGTCTCCAGCTGCTGTTTCCATGGATACCTATCATGTCACCTTAGCTCTGCTGCAGGCCCAGGTAATAATGCTAAGTTGCTGGGTTAAAGACTTCCTCTTTCCCTGTCCCTTAGCCATTCTTCCAGTCTGCAGGAGGAGGGGAAGGGCTGGTATGAGAGTCATGTTAACAATCCTCCTGTCAAAACTGTGGGGTTAGCAGAATTTCCCTGAGCTGTGTGTTGAGGGAGCTGCTGTCTGAGAATCATGCTATAAAACTTGCTATAGACCCTGTCTATGTAGGCATAACAAAATCCAGTGACTGGATTTTTGAGGCATGGTAATGGCCTATTTGTGTTTTTGTAACATGCTGTTTTTTTGCCAGGCTGGACAGGAAGCATGGAGTCCACATAGTCAGGCTCTACTGCAAAATGTGAAAGAGCTCTGTGACCCATCTGTGTTATAAACAAAGGATTTTCTTGTCTGCATGAAAAGAAATCCATAATTGGGAAACTGTGTGTTTAGCTCTATTGATCCAGGGTTCCTTACCTCACTCATAAGAAGTTTTCTCCCTTTTGATTGTTTCATTTATTGGGCATCTCCAAACTTTTCCCAGAGAACAGCCCTTTTAATCCCAAATTAATTTAAAAGAAAAATAACTCCCAATAGCTTCCCGCTGAGTTGTTGTTTGATCCTTCTTGAAAGCCTCCAAGGTCTGGGCTCCTTCTGAAGAAAGCATTGTTGGAAATGCATTTTCACTGAGACTGTGTTGCTCAGTGGAATTGGGGAATGGAGCAATGGAGCCTTCTGCATTGAAGTTACAGATTCAAATCCAGCCCAGGTTGTATTTGCCCATTTCCAGGCTATTTGGTGCCCCAGTTGGTTCTCCGCTTTTTAGGAGGTACTAGATTATCATTGCTGTAAATGTCCATGCTCGGAACTGGCAGTGGTTGATTAATTGGTCTCAGTGGAGGTCCTGTTTTAATAGCCAATTTGTTCTTCGTTGCGTCACCTGCTGGGCAAATAATGAGACCTGTTATAGGCTTGTTCTCCTCTCCCCAGTCTCTGTGCTTCACATAGAGGTGAGAAATCAGGATGGGTATTACTGATCTTTCTTTGGGACAGTGAGGTTTTCTGGGATGGTTCTTACCTCTCTGAACTCTAGATATCATGCTGGCATACCATAAGCAAGCCCTCTGTTACAAAGTATTTGGCACAGATTAGTTTGTGATGGTCCTCTTTGCCCTTTCACCGTACTAAGTTACATGAGGCCCTGTTGGTGATTTAATCCCAAATCAATAAACAGGGCATCTAATAACAAGTTGATTCTTAATGGTCCTCTTTTGGCCTGAGCCAGGTGGAGATCCGTTTGGAGGAGCTGCAGAATGAGGGCCTGCTGGTGTCATGGACATTCAAGGACAGACCAGACTTGAACCTTTCAGTTGTTCCGAAACTTCAGCCTCGTGAAGTGAGCAAACTGGATGAGCAAAGAAGTGGGGCTGGGGCTGAGAACAGGCACGGTGGGCTGAACCCAGTACTGGGCTGTTACTTGGGAAAGGCGAGGAGCTGTCAGCCTTTCCTGTCTATAGCCTTGTCTATATTAGTATCTTTTGAATGATTGATTAAAGGGTGAGGGGTGGGATCTTCCACTCTTCAACTAGCGTTGGTGTAGCACCACCAGTGGCTGAGACAGTGGAAGCACTAATGTAGACAAGGTTCTAGCAGCTACAGCTGTTTTAGCTGTTCTCTCTGAGCAGGGTGAGATGCTTGTGTACTCAAGTTCTCCCAGCATTGCTGCCAGTGGTGGAGCTGCTACAGTAGGAGAATTCCTGAAAAAAGTTAAGTATCAGAGGGGTAGC